TCCTCCGCCCTCCTCCTCCTCCTCTTCCTCCTCCTCCTCCTCCCTCCTCTTCCTCCTCTTCCTCCTCCTCCTCCTCCCTCCTCTTCCTCCTCCTCCTCCTCCTCCTCCTCCTCCTCCTCCTCCACCTCCTCCTCCTCCCTCTCCCCCTCTCTCCCTCCCCTCTTCCTTCCAGCGCCCCCGATCGGCCACAGGGGGGCGCCGCCGCCCCCCCCGCCGCCCCCCGCCCAAAACCCGGCAGGGAGACGCCGCCTCCTGCAGAAGGAGCCGCAACGCAGGCAGGTGCTGGTGGCGCACCGCCTGCCATCGGTCGCGGGCCGTCGTCGCCGGTCGTCGCCGGTCGTCAACGGTCGCTTCGTGGCATCTGCGATGTCTCTTGGGCGAAGCCGGGCGCGGCCGTCCCCAAAGGTACGGTACGGAACAGAGCGGCCTGGATGTCGGACACTCGGGGGCATCCAAGTATCGAGCAGCAGACCATGTCTCACAAGGTGGTCCAACTATAGCCCCCAGAGCACGGCCTTGGAACAAAAACAGCACTGAAAACTCTCGCGCTTCGGTCGACCTAAGGTCACCGTTCACGGGATCGTTTATTATCTCTATGGACAGCACAGCGACTGGGCCAGTCTCTAGGCCCATCTCCTGACAAAGCTCAAAGCAATGCTGAACAATCTCCAAGCCTACGCTGCCCGCTGAAGGGGTGTACTATATTTCTGGTCTCCCTGGGCCTGGCACTACGCGGGCTGTTTGTAGCCCTGTTCTGTCTAAGAAGTGGCTTACAGACTTCAGAATTGTAGGCGGGCGGAGGAGGGGGGAAAAAAGAGACTCAACCCCCTCAGCGGCTAGATGTATCCTTTCCCCATGGACGTTCCTGACAGGAACCTCGGCCTCAGTCGCCCTAAACCCTCGAACCTTGAGCGCCGCCGCAAGGTTACTGTCCTCCTCTCGAAGAGCCTCGTACCGATCATCGGACATCGGACACAGGCTCCTTCAGGTGCTTGGGAATCTCAAGACATCCTGTGCCTGCAACCCTTAGGTGTCTGAGTAGTCTCGGCCTGCTCCTGATATCCTTGCAGCACAGAACACCCGAACCCTCCTCCTCCTCCTCCTCCTCCTCCTCCTCCTCCTCCTCCTTCTCTTCCTCCTGGACCTTTTCCTGCTCATCCTGATTATCCTCCCGCTCCTCCTCCGTATCCCTCCTCATCCTGGACCTCCGCCTACCCATCCTTCGCCCTCCTCCTCCTCCTCCTCCTCCTCCTCCTCCCTCTTCACCTCATCCTCATTCCCTTCCCCCTCCTCCTCCCCCTCGTCCTGCCACTCCTCATAACACCTACGTACGTTTTTCTTCAGAGATCGGTCCGAATGGTCACCTCATCTCCCACCCACAACACGATGTCTCTCGGGAACAACGTAGCATGGTTCAACGCGCAAGGCACGGGCAACGTGCCTCCAACTCCTCCTCCACCTCCTCGTCATCCTTCTCCTCCTCCTCCTCCTCCTCCTCCTCCTCTGCAATCCCCTCCTCCTCCTCCTCCTCCTCCTCCTCCTCCTCCTCCTTCTCCTCCTCCTCCTCCTCCCCCTCCGCCTCCGCCTCCTTCTCCTCCTCCTCCTCCTCTTCCTCTTCCTCCTACTCGTCCTCCTGATCCTCCTCCTCCCCATTCTCGACCTCGTTGACGTGGTCGCGGTTGTCACTATCGTGATGGAGGTGTCTTCCTCCTCTGTAATCTTCCTTCTCTCCGTTCTCCTTTTCATCCAGTGCCGCCGCCGCCGCCGTCAGTCGTTTGGAGCCGTTATCCGTCCTCCACGACCTTCTCCTCCCCGTGCTTCCCCTCCTTCGTCCTCGATCATCCTCCTCCGCCCTCCTCCGCCCTTCTCCTAACTACCGCATCTTCTCCCCAAGCATCCCCCAATCACCTGTTGTATGTTTTTCATGTGGGGAGCGTGCATGGCCTGACCCTTTCACCCAGGCAGGCTATTCGTCCCCAGTCGTTGTTTGACAGTCCTTAGGCCCGGCGAGGGCCCGCAACGGCCGAACATGGAAGAACACCTTGACCGCCGTGTTTCAAGACATTGGATCTCTTGGCTTTCGGGCCGGATCTAGGACAGAACAACATCCTTCACAAACATGGGACCCTCCGCCGGCCGAACCGTCCCCCAAAATGCACAAGAACATCCAACCAGCACGAAGAAGACGAGGGCACCCTCCCCGACTCGACCTCGCACTCGTACATCGGTCCAGCCGCAACTGGGGCCCCCGGCGGCCGATCGGCACGATGTGGGCCCCCCTGGAACGCGCTCGGCCAGGTGCGGCTGCTGCACCGCATCCCGCGGCTGGAACACCGCCGAGGAACGATGCAACCCACCGAAACTCTCGGGCCTCGAACCCGGAGCCCTCTCCTCCCAGCCGCGGCGTCGGCACAGGAGCGGCGCCCCGTCCTCCTCGCCCTCCGGACAGAAGGCTACACCGCGGGCTCCCCCCCTCTCCCCAGCCTCTGGCTCCAGGCTT